GAGCAATAATGTGCTCGACAACTGTAACGTCAGTTCGGCATCCGAGGAATAACCTACTTTGTTCCCCGACTCTTTCGAAATGATATAGTGGATAGCCATTTAGTCGAAATAAGGTAGCAACTCTTCACTCGGAAATAGTTCGCCAATTGACTTAAAATGACTAATTCCCTTTTTATTTAGTGAAAATAGACATATCGCTCCAATACATACCTTTCACGTGACGTCACTTCCTCTATACTCCAGCCCGCCGGGCGCCATTGCCAGGTACTGAAAAGCAAACGCGGACGCTGCTGCCGCCGCAAGTGCGCTGCTCGATTGCGACTTGACTACGAAATTTGTATGGCCCGTACAGCGGTACGGAGCAAGCCATTCACCTTAAGTTTTGCCGTTTCTACTTCGAAGAGCTTGTGGCCCCACACGGGCTCGATATGAAGTGAAGATGTGCAACGGCGCGGACACCATTCCAGATGAGGACGTGCAGCCAGCCAGCCAGCCAGCCGACCCCCCCCCCCCCCCCCCCCCCTTTCCCCCGACGTACGTGAACATAATTAACGATCTGGCTTTGTCGACGAACGACGTACCTTTGTGGTGCGGGCAGAGGAGCAATACTGTTTTATTTCTTCTTGGGTTAATTTCATTTTACTTAAGTCTCCTCTATCTATTTAATCATTGTCGCTGCACCAGATGAAGGCCTTCAAGGCCCTGGATGCCCATAGTTATTTCACGAGTGGATGGGTGAAGAGCCTGACAGCGATGCGTCTCCCATCGAAGCGTATCGTCGTGCTGAGCGAAGCGAGTTGACAAGCGTCTTTGTGAGATCCGAAGAGTCAAATGTTTGAAGGTTTGCCTGCAAACGAAGAGATGCGCCCGTACTTGCTGCATTAGGCAGAATTTGCAGCATCTTACCTTGGTAAACTCGGCTCCGCCGCCGTAACAAGAATGCTACAAACACTACACAATTACCACGTTCACAATTACAGAAACGCTGCGAGAAAGGTTAAGAACATCCCTGCAGCGTGACTACAGACACCAAACACTGTCTCGGCCGCTATGGCAATGTGCACAGGGTGCAAACAGAAGCATACAACAATTCACGTTCAGTTGAGCAACGTATTTCTTATCGGTAATGAAGCGACGACGCAGACACGTACAGTTCCGATGTATGCGAGCAAGCCAGAAGCTTCGGCGTTTCTCGGACAGCAGCTTTGTACGCTTACAGTGTCGCGTTATCACCTTTGGCAAATGTTGCAGCCCTACATTTGTCTCAGTGTTATTAGGGAGTTTTCGTAGACCGCGTTTCCCCCTCCGCTAAGCCCTCTGCAACGAAGCAGCCGCTACTGCGCCGGCGCACCGATGGCCTTGACTGTAGAGTTCCGGCTAGCGTAGCTGGTTGCGGAGAGCCGTTGCGGGACAGCTTGAACGATGTACGAAAACTCCCTATTCTGCTGCGCAGAGGACTTGGTTCTGATTCCCAAACCCAGTCGGTCCCCCCCCCCCCCCCCCCCCCTCCTTAAAAACGCATACTACTACTACTCCACCGCGACCGCGACCACACGCCAGAAGAAACGTGCACTGTGTGTGCCGCAAATGCCGTAGCGACGCAGCCAACGCTGCGTCCAACGTTGCCGGCGCCGATCCCGATGTCAGTACCTCGTAATGGCGCTGACATATCCGATAAGCCCCCGCTGTCACGTCCTGGGTTTATCACGTCGAGGGCGCACCAAAGATACCGCGCTCGTGCAGCAGGCGCAAAGCTAGCAGTGCCGGAACGCGATTATAATCATCCGCGTTCCGCCACTGCTAGCTTTGCGCCTGCTGCACGAGTGGTAACTTTGGCGCGACCCCGATTTCCCACGAGCTTCAAGTCGTTCTAAAAAGAGTTGATTTAGTGGTTTTCGATGACGCTCAGTAAGTTTCTAATTGGAACCTTGTCTATTTTCACTAACTAAAAAGTTAATTAACAGATTGTAATTAATTAGCCGACTGATCGTTACGATTAGCCCCCTATACCATGTCCCCCTGGCCGTATAACTCACCTGCACAAACCGTGTAAGTGTAGCTTTCGAGCCTTTTTTTTTTAACAAATTTGTAAAGCCTCTTTGTCTGCTGCGTACTTTTCGTCGCCTGTCGGCACGAGTGCTCCCCTGGTGTCCTTGGACGATGCGTGTTAACGGCGCGCTGATGGACACGCAGCGCCATGGGGTGAGCGCTCGTGGAAACGGACGAGTGCAGTGACCAATGGGAGCCCGTCGACGCGCGCCAGCCAATGGAACCGAAGGCGAAATCGCAGAAACTAGGTGCCGTTTTCGAGCTTCAAACTGATGACATCAGCTCGCTCCATGGGACAATTAATGCTTTCGCATTAAAATTAGAAAATTCCCCGACCTGCAGCCGCGAGCGGCGGCCATGAGAACCACGCGGCATGACGTCGATGGGGGTTTTGTAGAAAGATAGCAAGTTGTGCGAATACCTGCTCGATAGAAGGTAACTTTTGTATAAATCTTGTCGTTTCAACATAAATATAGATGCGTCAAAACCTGGTATCATCGACAAAACTTTTATTATACGGAGTTGAGTGGCGCCATCTATCCTATAGGTTCACAAAACCGTGAGCTCTATCTGCTACCGCGAACAGCCGCCAGAAGCCGGAGGGGGACAGAGCCGGACGGGTATGGCCGGATCTGGATGAGACTTTCCTCCTTTCACCATATTATTCGCGCTGCGCCAGCACGTGGTCACGCGGCTGCGAGCGGATGAGTTCTCGCTGCTCACCGATGGCTTTAGAGCGCTTCACCGGAACCCGCGCGACCCCCATTGACGTCACAGCGCACGTGACTCGGAAGATGGTGAAGGAGTTGAGAGGTGCCGGAAACCTCAAATCTTTGTCCATTCGAGACACCGGCTCCCAACTAATTTAAGCAAAGCACTGAAGTTGTTGCACAGCTTTTTTAACATTTTGCTGGATGTTCGCACAAAACCGTCACATTTTGGCGAAATGTAGCAAAATGTGGGAGAGCAAGCAGTTTGGTGCAGCAATCGCATCATGCGCAACTGGATCCTGAGTTATCTTTACACATAACATTGTCAACTTTGGTCTATGCTCAGAGCGGCCGAATTCGGGCTGTGCATAATGCGAGGAAATAGCAATGATGCGGCACATAGTATTTCTACTCCAGTCGCATGCACATGTTTAGCAGGGGTGGCACTCAGTTCGTCGAAGGACGTTTTAGCAAACGCCGACTTTTCATCGAAAGACACTTTAGCGACTGGTCGGCCGCCGCGAAGCGGCGTTTACGGGTGGGCCAGATGACTTAACATTTTTTTAATGAGTCGCCGCAGACTGGGGGGAGGGAGGGGGTGTTAACACGCACTTCCGTCATTCGCTAAAACATCATTCACTCATGTGATATGGACCCCTAATAAGTCGGTGTTCTGTGAATGTCTAAGTTCACTCTAAGAAACTGTGCAAAAAGACAAACACAAGGAGAGAAAGCTACATTGTTCACCCTTTATTCACACTGCAAAGGAAAGTGGGAAATAGGAATATCTTTCATCCACCTGGACATATCCGGGTGTTTCAGCAAAGACTGACAAGAATTCCTAAAATTCGTGTATTCCAGCTAAAACAATTATCAGCCATTCCACTCGGTGAAAATGGATGACCAGCGAAGCTGTTTAGCACATGAGACAGAATTTTGAACAAAGGTACGAACACACTTATGCACGATCATCGGTGGTGTTTGCCTCCCGCCACTGCCGCCGACATTCTCGTTGCCGTTCCCGCCGTTGCTCTTCGTATGCGCGTTGCTCTTCGGGAGGCCGGACTACACGCGGCCTCCCCATTACAACGAGAAGTGAAAATGAAAATGGAGAACGGCAACTTGTCTTTCTGGTTTTTATATACATTCGCGTGGACGACTATCACCTCCCTGAGGAGCCGGAGAAAACTAGACACGCGCGACGGGTCCGCCACCTCGGCAGAGCGGAATGAAACTAGGCACGCAAGCGCTTGGAACGACGACAACAAAGGTGCCGCGAGTTTTTGTTGATGCAAATGAAAAATCCACGGAAACCTAGCCACATAAAGCTTCGCTGTAAAAGATCATTTTCTCGGGACCCGCGTTACTCGTGGTGGCGGAAGTCAGAAAATGAGAGATACTTGCTCATTAGTTCGCTAATTATTTAAAAATGACTAATTAGCTTTTTATTTAGTGAAAATAGACATCTGGTTCCAATTAGAAACTTCCAGAGCGTCATCGAAAAACACTAAATCAGTTATTTTTATAGAGATTGAGCGCGTGAGAAGCGTAGTAGTGCACTAAAGTTACCACTTGTGAAGCAGGCACAAGGCTAGTGGTTGCTGTAAGGCGCTTGCGCGATTTTCCCGTCTCTTACAAGAGCCCCGGCACTGCACCTGCTCCACGGATGGTAACTTCAGCGCACTACTACGCTCCTCACGAGCTCAGTCTTTCTAAAAATTACTGATTTAGTGGTTTTAGATGACGCTCATCAAGTTTCTCACTGGAAACATATGCCAATTTCCCCTAATCAAAACGTTAATTAGTAATTTCTAATTAAACAGCGAACTAATAAGTATTGCACATTTTCTGACATCCGCCATCACGAGTAAAGCGGTCCCGAGAAAATTATCCTCCTCGAATACACTAATTTTAGGAATTTTTGACAGCCTTTGCTAAAGGCTGTCAAAGAGGCCCATAATAGGGAGTTGTAGTAGATCGTTTTTCTCCTCCGCTACGCTATCCCCGAAGAAAACGGCGCAGCTGCGCATGCGCGCTGCCAGCCTTCTCTGCATAGTTCAAGGTCTTGCGGCGGATTACGGAGCGCTATCCGGGTGCTTAGCGGGCTGCGTAAACGGTCTACTACAATTCCCTAATGGCTAGAGTGCAGAGAAACAACTTATGTGCGCACCAAACGATAGGTCGCTCTGTCCAACCATGCTGAGGTAATGTACATTTACACAAAAACGATTATGTGTGTCATCAATCGTACAGCCAGCAAAAAAAAAAAAAAAAAAATATTGTTTGTGTTTTCAAATGCCTGGGCATACTATCAGCTTTATATTTTCATCACAAGCCCTCTCTGGAGAAAAATAACTGCTACATAATAAAATCATTAATTTCGATATTTGACAAATGACTGTTCACGTGTAGCTTATGCAAACTGTTTCTTACACTGTAAAATGAAGCGGAAAAACCGGTGACTGCACACAGAAAGTTCAAACTTTCACAGAATGTGCATTTATGTGGTGGATGTGTGCAGACAGCCGAGTTAGCGATGAATGTAAGCAGACAATGAAGTGCGTCGTCTGCTTGCTGTGCCTATTGTAGAAGGCGCCATAAGTACAACCATCAATGATCTGGTCATCTGCGAACATGCTCGCCACTGACCCTGGCAAGTTCGTCGGTCTCATTTTTTACAGGAACAAAGTTATGCCTTAAAATTTTGGGACATAAAATGCACTACTAATGCACATTGATTAAAATTTGTGATTGCTATGTGCAGAAGCCGATTTTTCTGGCCAATTTCACACATCCATTATGTGGAGATAAAGTGTAACTTTAGATCACAGGGTGTGAGAGATTTGAAGTAGTCTACATTTCTTCTGCAACAGACAACTTCACAATTATCAATGTAAATATCCTTTTGGGATTGGGTCAAATGATTGTGGCCCCCGGGCCGTCTCGGAGTTACGAGCAAATCCAGCATAAGGTGGCACCACCTGTCAAACTAAACTTCATTGCCCAGGGGGTATAGTGAATTCTCCACTGTAATTAGAAAATGTAAGAAAGGAAACTACATTACAAAATTAAAAATAAGCCAAAACCACCCACAATTTTATAATTGCACACATAAAAAAGCAACTTTTTGAACAGAACAAGTTTGGCCTTTAAATGGGAAGGTAGAAAAGAACCTGCAAAACTATTCCCACAAAGAAAGTGCAAGTAGCAGTAAAATCAAAATAGTAACAATTCATTCCACGTCTCGGACACACAAAAGTACAAAAATAAACTCTTAGGGTGCCCTGAAAGTGTGCATGTTCAATACATGTTGTAGGAAGTAAAAAAAAAAAAAAAAAAACTTGAAATGAAGTGTGAACAACTTATATTTTGCAGCGATTTAATTTGCATTAATTTATTCACAGCCCTGAATATGCGATCATATGGATAGATCGCTAATACAATGGGCAAATGAACCAATTGATTTCTGTCATAAAATTCAGTTCTTGAAAAACATGACAACGAAAAGAACATGCAAATTTGTGAAGAACTGAGCCCGTGAATACACCGTCTGTTACAGCACTTCAACATAAAAAATATAGGCTTATAAGCTGATTGCAAATGCTGCAAAAACAAAATGTGCCAAAGTCAAGTATACAGCAGTGTCATTCCCTTTTCCCCAGTAGCATTTTACCACTGATGCACAGCAAGTATTAAAGATTAAAATAGCTGAAGGATAAAAGTGAATGTCGTAAAACTACAGGAAAAACACTGAAGTTATTAGCCATATACGAACAGAAGAAAACAAGAGGCAATGACAAAATAAAAGTGACAAGACTTCTTTCTAAGACCATAACCCTATGTTTGATATATAAATACGCAGGTTTTCCTAAGCAGTCCTTACAACACACCCAAAAAAGAATCAAAAAAGCTATCTACAGATGCACATATCATACAGTGTGATACACAAACACCGGCTGTTGCATAAGGCCTTTGAGGCTCTAGCTTCAAACTTTGGCTAGACGTCCAAATCCTCTGCAGGGGGACTCAGTTCTACACCAAACACGCGGGACCAGACAGACAGTCAAAGCTAGCACACTGGAATTGAGGGAACCTCAGCAGATCGAGAAAACAAACCACCGCTCGATTCCCCCAGCTGCTTACGTCACCCAGCTGTATTCACAGATTCACACTTTTCACTAACACTTCATCTCGGTACAAACCCCAGCCCAAACGGCTCGTGACCCGCGTGCCCCCCCCCCCCCCCCCCCCCCCCCCAGCTTGACAAATAAAATAATAATAAAAATGGCAATATTAACATGCAAACGCAACCAAGCGGCATGCTTCGACAAATATCTGTTGTCAACCGTACACAATCAACCTCTACAAAAACAAAAAGTAAAAACAAGACACCCGTTTCACGACACGGCCAATGTGCAGACAATGAATGGTGGTGCGCAACTCCCGCTGTTTTGATCCCAAACTACACACAACCGTCACATCAAGAGAGCAGCTCCCAATTGGAGCGCGACCTGTTCAATTGGCGGGGCTTAGAGCTGTGCAGGCGTAGTGCCTGAGTGATGTTGCACAGGGACTTGGAGACGTCCTCAATCTTGTTCTGGAAGCTTGCATGGCACTGCAACGGACGGCACAAAAGATTCACCCAACATCTGGGAAGCTTCTGCTGCTCATTTTTAAGCTACGACAGGCACTCAAATCAGTTTTATGTCTTGGATGCGTGAAATGCAAGACTGCACACTAAACGCGCTTTTTAGCAGCTGTGCATGGGTACAGCCATAAGTTATCTGCACTCTCTGTTCTCTTTCATCACTGTGGTCGTCCTACATGTCATTCACCTTCTAGATACCACAATGCTTTTGTCCCCGACGCAGGATTTGTATGAATTTGTCATGGTGGCACAAATCTGGCACGTGCTGAAAGCATCTACAGTCGGACGCCTTTGTAATGAACGTCTTTAATAAAGTAAAATAGAGTCTCGGCGAATCTCCCATGAGTTCAATGTGTTTCCCTGACTACAATAAATTCCTGTTTAACAATTTATGGGCTCCACAAAGCAAAAATGACCAATATTACGAATCTTCTAGGTGAAGACTAATCGATTTCACATTATTGTCGCTCTTAAGTAACATGTACAGAGAAGAGAAATAGTTTGGCAGTGGCAACAATCGAAACTGTCGCCGCCCTGCGTTCAGTTTTGGGTCTAGATAATTTGTTAGTGCGCAACCTTGTGTCTAAATGGCGCTATGGAACTATGTTGCTGCGCAGAAAGCCTGTACGCAGCAATAGAAAGCCTGTATTACAGAGAGTTTTTAACTTCATATGTACGTGGTGTCCCAGCAACGAATGATTAGTACACTAATGAAATTTGCACAAGGACAACAAACAACACTGATTGTCTCATGCTCGAACCTCATAAATTGAGGAGCCTCCTTACTTTCTAGACTAAGTACGAATGACATCTGCCGATTATAACGGGCCAGCATGTAATGTGAAGCAAATTCAACTTGAAAGCTAATGTATAGTCATTTTCAGCCTGGAAGAAACCCTTCTCCACCTACGTCTCCTCACAGCTCCTCTCCTGCTTGCCTGAGCCACCAAAGAATTGACAGAGGATTTCCTCCTTTCTGATTGAGCACTGGCTTTTAAGGTGGCGGTGCCTACATTAGGAACATTCTTAGGTCGATTTTCTGTTAAAAACACTAAAAAACAAAGTTTTTTTTTTTTAGAGCAATATTGACGGCAAGAGATTTATTTGAAACTTTGCGCGCAAAGTTCATGACGTCACGGATTGGCCATTCTGTTTTCGGACCTCAACAAGATGGTCATTCGCCCTTTCCACCTCAACGTAAAGGCGAAGCCGATTCACCTCTCCTCCATGCGCCCAAAATGCCGAAAAGAAAGACAAGTGGAAAGGAGGCGACTACCGACTAAATCGCGTCATGCGCCGTCAATATTGCTCTAAATATATTTTTTTCGTCTAATTTAATTTTTGACATGCATGTCCCAACCATACTATAAAAATTTTTTTTTTTTCACGAGTTCTTTAAAAGTTGAGGGAGACACTATCTGGGAATGTCAACTTGTGAAACGCTCACTCAATTGCAGTGATATTCGCAGGTGGTGCTTGTAGCCATATAGGAGGGCAAGCAGTTTCAGAAACTGTGAACCAATTTTAAGGGGTTCACAGTTTCTAGGGTACCCCCAGAACGAAGTAAAGAACGAGCTTTGCACGAAATCTGATCAATGAATCTGTCCTTGAAAAATGGTGTTGATAACCACATATTTTTCTGATGAACTGCATACTGGAATACCTGTTGCCAGTTATTATGAAAAGAAAATTAAAAAAAAAATGCATTATCCAAAAATATTAAAGAAAATATGACAAAAAAAATTTCACATTTATTGAGTTCTGCAAATTACAATTTTTCACGTAAATGAACATGAAAATGCAAAATCTAAGTTTAAACTAACCGGCTCCAAAAAAGTTCAGCATAAAAGCCGCAAATATTAAGTCTCTCGATCGTTTCATACTGAAACAATAGTTTAATCATTGAGTCAACGTTATGCCAAAAAGTGGAAGGGAGAAAAACATGTTCGAAATGCTTGAACCTCTCCCTTTTCTTTAGCATCAGTGGACCAAAAATATTTTTAATAAAAATAACTATGCAGTGTGAGCACATAAAACTTTCTGAGAATACCCTCTAAGGTGTTGGTGGATATAAATATGACATTTTTCAAAATAAACTCTTCTAGCAGAATTTGTTTTTTTTCTTTCTGATTAGTGTTTTTTTGTTTCTTTTTTTAATTTGACTTTGCAAAGAAGGTCAGAGATGAAATGTTTCGTTTATGTGGGCTCAGCGGCAAAAAAGGGTGTGTGCAGGTGAGCTATAACGAAACTGACAGAGAGCTCCAAGTCTAAGTAAAGGTTACTTTCTTGCAGCACAGCAACCGGTGAATAGAGGAATCATTCTTCTGTTCACTGGGGTGTCAAAGCAGCATAGAATGTTTTTCAAACAGACTTACCGTTGACTTTGAACATGTTTCGAGACACCACGTAGGACAGAAGTGTTCTAAAGGTTTCGAGAACAATGACTGACTCATAGAATGTACGGTAAAGTACTGCTGAAGCATCCACTGTTAACATTTGCCAAACTTGGGAATTCTGCAAACTATATGTTAAAAAAAACACTAAAATGGGAAACAAAAATTTTTTTTAATGGTCTTTCTTAACAGGGACACATTACTTTTTTTGTTAACTTTTCCATGAAGCAAACAATTTTTAAACCAATATTCACACCATTAGACAATTTAGTTTGGGGTAGCCCTGCTTTAGGCCCCGCCCCATGCTTACAAAATTAAGCACCTTTTCACGGCTCTCATGGGTTGGAGAGGTGACTGACATGCGAAATGTTGGTGTTAAAATTGTTTCTCCATCCCGTAATAGGATTCATATCGATAATATTTTTTGGTTGGAGAAACAAATAACCTAGACAGTCGTTACTGTTTTCGAATGTCCTGATATTGCATTTGGGCTTTGGCTTTAAATGATAACAAACATGGCTGCCAGCGTTTGTGGCGTGCTCGACGAGCATAGATCGTTGAACTTGTTTATTTTCATGGCTGTGAGTCGGTCTGCTTTCACCGAGGTGTTTAGTGGAAGATCTCCTCAACCGACCTAGTTTGCAGCAAACAACAGTCGCCAGTACGCACCTTCGGAAGCACCGCGCGGGTGTTGTGTTCATGGTGGGACTGGCCTAAGCCTATCATCTCACGCTTTGGGAAGCGCTGCGCTAGTGCTTGGGTTTGAAGCGGGCCTGGCCTAAGACTAGCATCCCATGCCTTCGGAGGCACTAAGCGGCTGCTTAGGTTCGTAGTGGGACTGGCCTAAGCCTAGCGTCTTATGCCATTGGAAGTGCTGTGTGGGTGCTTGGGAACGTAGCGGGACTGGCCTAAGCCTAGTGTGCAACGCCTTCGGAAGCGCTGTGAGGGTGCTCGGATTTGTAGCAGGACCAACTAAGCCAAGCATTAACGCCTTCGAAAGCGTTGTGTGGGTGCTTGGGTTCGTAGCAGGACTGGCCTAAGCCTAGCGTCTTATGCCATTGGAAGTGCTGTGCGGGTGCTTGGGAACGTAGCGGGACTGGCCTAAGCCTAGTGTGCAACGCCTTCGGAAGCGCTGTGAGGGTGCTCGGATTTGTAGCAGGACCGACTAAGCCAAGCATTAACGCCTTCGAAAGCGTTGTGTGGGTGCTTGGGTTCGTAGCAGGACTGGCCTAAGCCTAGCGTTTTATGCCATTGGAAGTGCTGTGCGGGTGCTTGGGAACGTAGCGGGACTCCATGGCCTAAGCCTAGTGTGCAACGCCTTCGGAAGCGCTGTGAGGGTGCTCGGATTTGTAGCAGGACCGACTAAGCCAAGCATTAACGCCTTCGAAAGCGTTGTGTGGGTGCTTGGGTTCGTAGCAGGACTGGCCTAAGCCTAGCGTCTTATGCCATTGGAAGTGCTGTGAGGGTGCTTGGGAACGTAGCGGGACTGGCCTAAGCCTAGTGTGCAACGCCTTCGGAAGCGCTGTGAGGGTGCTCGGATTTGTAGCAGGACCGACTAAGCCAAGTAATAACGCCTTCGAAAGCGTTGTGTGGGTGCTTGGGTTCGTAGCAGGACTGGCCTAAGCCTAGCGTCTTATGCCATTGGAAGTGCTGTGAGGGTGCTTGGGAACGTAGCGGGACTGGCCTAAGCCTAGTGTGCAACGCCTTCGGAAGCGCTGTGAGGGTGCTCAGATTTGTAGCAGGACCGACTAAGCCAAGCATTAACGCCTTCGAAAGCGTTGTGTGGGTGCTTGGGTTCGTAGCAGGACTGGCCTAAGCCTAGCGTCTTATGCCATTGGAAGTGCTGTGAGGGTGCTTGGGAACGTAGCGGGACTGGCCTAAGCCTAGTGTGCAACGCCTTCAGAAGCGCTGTGAGGGTGCTCGGATTTGTAGCAGGACCGACTAAGCCAAGCATTAACGCCTTCGAAAGCGTTGTGTGGGTGCTTGGGTTCGTAGCAGGACTGGCCTAAGCCTAGCGTCTTATGCCATTGGAAGTGCTGTGCGGGTGCTTGGGAACGTAGCGGGACTGGCCTAAGCCTAGTGTGCAACGCCTTCGGAAGCGCTGTGAGGGTGCTCAGATTTGTAGCAGGACCGACTAAGCCAAGCATTAACGCCTTCGAAAGCGTTGTGTGGGTGCTTGGGTTCGTAGCAGGACTGGCCTAAGCCTAGCGTCTTATGCCATTGGAAGTGCTGTGCGGGTGCTTGGGAACGTAGCGGGACTGGCCTAAGCCTAGTGTGCAACGCCTTCGGAAGCGCTGTGAGGGTGCTCAGATTTGTAGCAGGACCGACTAAGCCAAGCATTAACGCCTTCGAAAGCGTTGTGTGGGTGCTTGGGTTCGTAGCAGGACTGGCCTAAGCCTAGCGTCTTATGCCATTGGAAGTGCTGTGAGGGTGCTTGGGAACGTAGCGGGACTGGCCTAAGCCTAGTGTGCAACGGCTTCGGAAGCGCTGTGAGGGTGCTCGGATTTGTAGCAGGACCGACTAAGCCAAGCATTAACGCCTTCGAAAGCGTTGTGTGGGTGCTTGGGTTCGTAG